ATATATATATATATATATATATATATATATATATATATATATATATACCATAAAATAGAGTAAAAGAGCCTAATATATGGCCTCACTTTAGTGTCAGTGATAAATCTCACTTCCCCTGGTTAATGACATCTTCTTTGCCCTCCTGCACACATTTTCTATCACTCCTTGCCATGGCCAGCTGCTATTTATAGCGGCTATGTCCATTGCAATACAACTGTACCTCTCTCTTTCTTCCCTCTTTATAAAATGCACCGCTTTCTCTCTGTCTTTTCTTTCCTCTCAATCTCACTTTTGTCTCGTTCCATGCAATTGAGTCAATAAACAGGCTTTAAACTTTTCAGTTTAGATTTTGTCAATCTCTGTCCGTGTGAGTGGACGGGAGTGGAAGATGGACTCCTGAACTCGGCTCTCATCCCGGAGAGTAACTCCAGGAACTGCACTCACGTCCTTCTTTCATCTTCCACCCCCCCTGCATACATTTTCTTTTAAGTTTGGATTCCTTAAAGCTTCCTTCAGGATTAACTTACTTTTAACTGTGCTGCAGAGTGTTGAAATATGTTGTTTTTATGTTTTTTATGTATGTATTTATTGTCATAGAGGGACATAGCTGATGAATTCTAGCTATAAGAAGATTTTACATCATGATAAGGTAAATGATGATCCTTTGTCATTATTCTCATTAACTCTATAAATAGGGTTAATGAGAATAATGACAAAATATCATCATTCAACCACGTAGATTAGATTGTAAAAGTGACAGATGTGTGTGTTTTATTTATATATCTATTTGGGGGGTCTTAGCTTAATAAAGAGACCACTTAAAGAGAAATGACTCTTGCAGATTGGACTCGAGGTTTGTGCATTAGATGAAGTGATCGGTGATTTTGTTCCCTGACAAGTCATTTACTTTAGATTACAACAGTAATACTTTATTATTTTTTTCTTCTTAAACGTTTAGTTAATGAACACACCTGAATTAGTTTTGACATCATGAGGAAATGAGACGCATTTATCACGAGTGGGCTCGAAACACTTGCTTTCCTCTGTTTGGAATCCTAAATCACGTTGATGGAACATCTGGAGTTTTAATCATCTTTGTTCAGCCCCAAATCATTGACAGGTCCGAGGAGAGCTGTTTGAAGTCGACAGTGCCCTGCTTCACAGCAGTAATTACTTTGATGGCAAAACATTGCGTGCTGTTTTGTTGGGTAGTACCAGTTTTGTGTGGGGGCTATTAGAAGGAGTTTTCGTGTAATGTCATCTTAATTTGTAATTCAAATTTCAGACGCCAGCTCCCCCGCAACTCCGAAACGAAAAGCGGGTGAAAGAAAATGGATGAGTGGTTTTGCTCCTTGTTGTATTTCACGTGAAATGTTCCTGGAACCGAAATATCAATGATACTACTGAGCTTTGCAAACTGAGTTCTGTGGGAATGTTCACATCTAAACTGCCGTAGAAAGATCTTTGAATGACCTCAGTTTGAGTTTAATTCTAGATCGACGAGCTAACAGCTAGTTTGAGTGGGACCAAGAACAAAGTGGATTGCTATTGCCTTAAAATAACTTTAGTCTTGAGAATTTCATAACAGTTCAGGCAAGAAGTATTTTAAAAGCAACAGCACTTCCAGGTAGGGTAAGAAAAATGTGCTTAGCTAATCATTAAATGATAATACATACTCATTATCTACATCTTTTTGGGGCTGTCTGGACTCATAATGTGGTAATAATTACCTATTGGTGTACAAGACAACATGATTTATTTTTCACCTCATCATTAGGTGACGGTGTTTATCTAACCCAGGGGTCTGCAACTTGTGGCTCTGGAGCCACATGCGGCCCTTTGGTTCCTCTGCAGCGGCTCTTTCAAGCTCTGACAAAGCGATCAAACCGCTGCTAGTTTCAACAGTTTCATGTCACTTCTTTAGCAAATTTGTGAACACTACTATACAAGGAGTAAAACTTACTCCCTTTAACTTTATGCTTTATTTCTTTCAGGTAGGATGCTTAAATTTTTCACAATAAAAAAGCACTAGACCTGCACAGTTTATTGTTTTATTTTTTATAAAAACTATTTAAAAAAATAATAATTCTTTACAATAATCCAGTCTTTTATTTTGTCTTAAAATGTAAAAATATCAACAAGTGTTAAAAATCATTAGATAGTTTTAGTTTTATGTCCTACTGGCCTGAAAAGCCTCCTCCAAAAACTTGGTGGTCCACGGGCCACCAGTTGATACTCACAGTTGGAGCAGGTTTTTGTGGCTCCGGACATTTTAATTTAGTCAACGAAGGGGCAGAAATGGCTCTTTGGATTATCAAAGTTTTAGACCCCTGGTCTAATCATGGTCATGAGCCTGGTAGGTTGAAAAGTTTAAGTAAAATGCAAGTAACCAGCACCTAATGATCAGATAAAAATTAAAAAGTGCTGCCATGTTCACTATTAAATATTACCTAACCATTTGCTAATTATTAGTCTAGAATTAGTTTGAAGCTCCCTAGATTAATAATGTTATTCACTGGCTTGTTATGAATGTTAATGTTTGTGTACAGTGCTCTGACATGACTTATGTTGTGACTTGGTGCTATTTAAATAAACTGAATTGAATTGACTTAAATTAAGCAAAAATGTGTTAGTAAAGAGTACATAAATATTGTAAAAAAAAAATTAGATTGGAGTTGCTTTGACTCAGCAGAAACCCACTTCTGTCTTGGCCCAGTTCGAACTAGTCATTAATTCATCAATCTGACCAGAATTAAACCATTTCTCCAGATCGAGGTAATCTAAAGAGCTATCTACTACAGGTAAGATGTTATTTGTACCGATCTTTCCACAGGACCCCACTTACAAAGATCGGAACTATTGCTTTATTTTCTCATCTGCCCTTGTGGCCTCATTTCTGTCCTCCTAGCTTTCCTGCCTGGCTTTATTTGCTCACCTTTCATCTGAAAATCATTGAACTCAATTGGACAAAGTGATAGAGTGAACCTTTCTGTACAAGTTGAGCAGGGGAGTTAAAGAAGGCAACCGCCCCTGAACTTACCTCCCAGTGCAACTAATTGCCTATAATTACACCTGACTGCTCCTGCGGAATACAAATCAGCTGAGATCCAAACGTCTTATCCGCCGTGCAAATCTGCTTCACGTCATTGTGCGACTGAGTTGTGTACATAGAACACAATAGCCTCAATAATATGAGTTTAGAAGATAAAACGATAGCACTCCTACATTTGTAATTACCTGCAACATATTGATTATTTACCTGAATGTGGTCTGTGTTAAGGAATCTATTGCAATTACACTTATCTAAAAAGGACTGTTATCTTCTGTTTTCTTCTCGCCCTCAGGGGGAATATTTGAGTCCATCGAGAGTGGCCCCTCCGGAGCAGAGGAACTAGCCTTTAAATTTGCCTTGAACACAATCAACAGGAACCGCACGTTGCTCCCAAACACCACACTGACTTATGACGTCCAGAGAATAAACATCTTTGACAGCTTCGAGGCTTCCCGGAAAGGTAAGTGAGGGATAAAGAAAACGCGCCAAGCAGAACTTCAATTTCATCAGATTTCTGTGGATTTTTTTCTCCCTTTTTCACAGCCCTTAAGACAATTATTATGATGCCTTCTTATTCTTCATCCAAACCTGATGCAACCGATGCTTCAAACCTTCAAACCTTCACACTGACATATTCATGCATGAGGTTTTATAGTGACAAGGATAGATAATAATAACTGATAATAAAAGCTAAATATTTATCATTTCAACTATATATTTTTTTAATGATTTTCATTTTTTTAGAGGCTGTGAAGAAACATGTTTGTGGTAAATTTAAATTATCTTGAAAACTTATAACCTGTACTGTGTACAGCATTATTATACAGACTGCTGTAATTCAGTAATATGCAATGCTCTGTAAAACACTAACATTCCATAGATGCTGATTTTCTTGGGAAATGTGCATTTACATCTTGCTAATCTTTCTTGATTATACAGCACAATACATTAAAAATCAATTATACCACGTAAAATAACATTTGAAATTTTCAGTAAAGTACTGGCAGTAGTGGTTGACAAAGTATCAAAAGCATGATAGCAATGTGTTTGACACAACTGTAAATTTAGCACTTTAGAGCTGTTTTTTTTTTAATTGGTGTTAAATTACTATTATATATATATATATATATATATATATATATATATATATATATATATACTCTATAAATCTGCGTGTGGTATATAACATTTAAAGAACAGAAATACTGTAAATCTAACAAAAGTGTTTAATAGAACTAAAACACACAATGAAACTGTGAAACAGATTGTGGTATTTTATTTAGGACATAAAAGTTGTCAACATGTATAGGCAGCTGTGATTTCACAGTAAAAACCTGGGCGTTGCAAAAACTGAAAACATCATTAGTTCGACTTCTCAGTGCAGTTACAAGAAAATTATACATCTTTTTTATGAAAATGAGAAGTTGAGGGGGAATGCAGCCATTGTAGGCACAACCGTAAAATCACCACAGCAATCTTTAAGATGTGCTTTACAACTTGTACAAGAGTTTTAATACAGTAGTCCCTTGAGACTTCACGGTTCGTTTTTTTTTTCAGACTTACTCTATCGCGTTTTTTCAAAGTAAGATTGGACATGACAAACAATTGGCTGATTGATGGATGAGCCGAATGTTTGGCATGGAATTGTTATTTAAAATAAATTATTTTAAATTATTTAGCACCTGCTGCACCTGTGTGCGGCCCACAGCTGCAGGAGAAGCTTCCTCCTGCATCATGTTAGATCTCCACTCTGCAGCGGAAAAGTGGGTGTGGCCGAGAGTGCTGGCAGAGTGCAGCCGAGGCAGAGAGCTGAGATCATGACATGCTGTGCTCTTTTAGAGCATTTAAAGTTTACAAAATTGTTAGGGACATTGCAAGAGTGTGGGAAGGGTTTAAAACATCTTAATATATACAGTAGTCCATCGTTTATCGCGGGGGATCTGTACCCTGAAGACCCGTGATAAGTGAAAAACTGCGAAGTAGGAATAGTAGTACATGTAGTAAGCAGTAGTTTATTTTAGAATTTATACATTAACGTATTTTAAAACCTTCCCACACTCTTGTAATATTCTAAACAATGTTTCTAAACTCTAAACGCTCTAAAAGAGCACAGAATGTCATGATTTCCCCTCTCTGTGCCTCCGCTGCTCTCAGCCACCTGCAAGTGCTCTCGGCCACGCCCACTTCTCTGCTCTGCATGCAGATCAGCTGATCAGCTTTTCAGATGCAGCAGGAAGTTTATCCTGCAGTGTGGGCTGCACAAATGTGCAGCAGGTGCTAAATAATTTAAAATAATTTATTTTAAATAAAAATTCCATGCCGATTGTGCAGCTCGTCCATCAATCAGCCAATTGTGTGTCATGTCAAATCTTATTTTGAAAAACAAACAGCGAAGTAGCGAGGGACTACTGTATCTGTATATAAATACTAAAGTAAAATACTACTTACTACTACAGTAAATACTAAATTAAACTACTACTACTGCTACTACTACTACTACTACTACTACTTGTGTACATAATTTTGTAATGACAATAAAGTTTACTTGAACTTGGACTAGTGTATCCCTACTTTGCAGTTTTTCACTTACCATTGGGGGGGGGGGGGGGGGCGTGGTCCCAAACCCCCGCAATAAACGAGGGACTTCTGTAAATCACAAGTCATTTAATTTATGAAAAATGGCCTTCAAATAAGGGCAGCATGGTGGCGCAACTGGTAGAGCTGCTGCCTCTCAGCGAGCAGGTCCTTGGTTCAAACCCCGGTCCAGGGGCCTTTCTGGGTGGAGTTTGCATGTTCTCTCCGTGCATGCGTGGGTTTTCTCCGGGTACTCCGGTTTCCTCCCACAGACCAAAAACATGCATGTTAGGCTGATTGGTAACTCTAAATTGTCCCTAGGTGTGAGTGAGAGAGTGAATGTTTGTTTGTCTCTATGTGGCCCTGCGATGGACTTGCGACCCGTCCAGGGTGTACCCCGCCCCTCGCACAGTGATTGCTGGACATGGGCAGCAGCGACCCCCGTGACCCAAAATGGAACAAACGGGTAAAGAAAATGGATGGATGGATGGATGGGCCTTCTAATAGGAGGGTGTTTAGGAAAATGTATTTAACTCTTTGCTTTAATCTGTCCTCTCTAATCTTCTACGTCTCAGTTATGTAAGAAAATAGAAAATTGGATTTAAACTTTGAAATTGACAAAATGCTTCCTCTCATTTCAGCATGTGACCAGCTTTCTCTTGGAGTGGCGGCCATTTTTGGCCCGTCACACAGCTCTTCTGCCAACGCAGTCCAGTCCATCTGCAACGCTCTGGGCGTGCCCCACATCCAGACCAAGTGGAAGCATCAAGTGTCAGACAACAAGGACTCCTACTATGTCAGCCTGTACCCCGACTTCTCCTCCCTCAGTAGAGCCATCCTGGACCTCGTGCACTTCTTCAAGTGGAGAACAGTCACTGTGGTCTACGACGACAGCACAGGTACAGGTACAGTCAGTGTCTGTCCTTATCTTCCAATCCTCTGTCTGTTTTCTGTGGTGATAAATGTGTCTTTTTTTTTTAAATCATCGTTTACTCCATAAAATGTTTCAAGGGGGGACAAAACTAAGATGTACCAGGTGAACTACAAAATGTGGCACTGCTCCTCGGAGTTCAGCGGGCGCTTTGTAACCTGTCAAGTTAATTCAGAAATCAATATCTTACTGTTCTGTCTCAGTCCTCCAGGTGCTGCCCATGTCAGTCTTCCAAGAGAGTGAGCAGCAGCAGAGAAAAAATATAAAATAAATAAAACCACATTACCCAGGATGACCCTGTGTCTCTTCAGATTAATGCAATGCAGAAGTGTAGTGTGTGTGGGGGGTTGACAACAGCCATTAATAACACACAAAGACACTTGATCTCTGAGGGTGGCTATCAAACGTGTCTCTAAGCCACTTTGTCTATTCTGTAACTTTGCAGAGTGGCTCATAATACGCATTTTAAAAGGCGAGTCGTATTTTAGCCGGAGTACAGTGGTGTTTTTATAATAAAGTGCAATCGCTCTAGAGGAGATGACAAAATTCACATTTTATGAGATATCTGGCGCGATGCAGCCGACAACTACGTGTAAGTAAATTACGCAGAGATCTAAGAAGACTCACATTTTAAACAAGATGTCCAATCTATGTGTTAAAATGGTTTTTGTCCTGTAATTAATTATTACAAATTGTGCTATTAAATGCACACAAAGTACTATTTTGCTCCTTCGATATACGTAAGTAACTCAAAAGTGTTACCTTTTGCTCAGTGGTGTGGTCTACATTTTTGTACACGGTATACTGTGCTTAAAAACCAAAGTACACCGGTTAGTACAATGTAATTGTTAATTTATTTTGATTTTTAAGCATACTGAGCATTTCCAAATTTCTCTGATGCTTATATCTGAATAAATGAACAACAAACTTTGTACAACAGTTGGCTTTGTATTAAAAGTTATGAGATTTATAAAACAGTATGAAAGCAAAACATGTTCAAGTATTAAGTAGTAAGTACAGAAGTATTAATTATATAAAAAAACAGGTTGAACCAACTCAGTGTGTCTATACAATGTTCCACATGTGTTGACAGTGACATGAGCGTCACATATCATTGCCAATTATACATGACATGGGCTCGTATAATTGGGCACTTTTAAGTGGGTATACTGAAATTCCCTATACCCATCTATCACATAGACTACACTGCTTCTGCTGCCATTTTTGCGTCTCCAGTTACACGTTTGTGACATACCTTTCAGTAAACAGTCTATCCTGCAGCATTCTAGCACCATTATGACCTCAGATTATATCCCAGTGGCTCATCCCACTTGCCACATTATTCTGACTCATCTCTTTGACCTCTCTCTACTTCCTGCCTCTAAGCTCGATACAGTAACACCCTCAATCACCCTCAAATTGTCCCGGAAAAATGCCAAGAGATGGCCTCTTGCCTCTTTCCCTCAGTCGGGAGCAGTTTCGGCCTCCCGTGTGGAGGATTTTTTTTATTTCCATTTTCTGTTGTAAGACACCTGACGTCGTGAAAAGTGTGACAGCTGCATCGCTCCCCGCTTCACTTGCACCCCAGTCTCAGGCGGTAATCACACAGCGTCATGCTCCAAGGCCCCGCACTGCTGATTGGAGCCTATCTGACGTCTGGCAGGAAAAACTATCGGAGGGGATAAAATATTCACACACAGCCGTTAGAAGATCCAGGGGGAATGTCTGAAGGCATTAGCCAGAGCTCGCAAACATCTACACTGACAGTGTTTCCCAAACGTTGAGCTCCCTTGACAGATTTTTTTTTCCTTGCTCAACACCTCCCAAAGTGTCAGTATGAACAAAAACAGGGAGAAGCAGACATGCCCCAGAGTAGGGATCTATAGGGATTACCTTAGGACAGCTCTCAGAGGTTCAGAATTCCTCCCTATTGTAGTTCATTTAACAACAAGACCTGCATGTATCTATTTCGCACCAATTTTTCTGCAGGCCTCGGGGAGATCCAGCCCCACTCGTGGTAAGACCATTAAACTGCTCACACAGCACTTCGTTTCCAAATAAAAAATAGGCTGAGCTATCTTGAAGTGGTTCCACACACAAAAAAGGGAAAAAAATCCTATCTTTCTCCAGTTCTCTCTCAAACTACCCTTTCTGCTCGATCCATTTTTATACCCATGACAAGTAATCATCTCTCCCATCAATCCGGCCCCCTTTCATCCCTGGACTCTGAAGTCCTTCAGTGAGGGAGAAACTCATTGTAATCTCATCACAGTATCTCCTGGAGAGCTTTCTACCTGAGCGTGTGGTCGAGAAATGAAAGGTGAAGATTGGAGCTGAATATGTGATGGCGGCGTCAGGCTCCCTGGAGGGGGGTTGGTGGTGCAGGGAAAGTACAAGCTGGGCAAACAGAGCCGCTCTCATCAGAACACATCTGAAGTGTGTGTGAAAAGACAGAAGAGGCTGAATTGACCGAGACTTTCCATCAGGATAAAATTGAACCTATTCAGTGCTTCAGTGTGGCGTCGTGGAACACAAGTGCGAATCAACATTTTGGAAGCCCCTGTCAGATTGGAAGTTAATGTAGGAGGGCGCTGATCGAGGCTCTTTCGTTTTTTTTTTTGCTTTCGGTTTAAAGGAGTGCAGTGTGCTGGCTCGTTCTCCTGATGGGTCTGAAGCAGTCTGTTTGCTTGCCAAGCATGTGTAGGAGGATCAATAGAGTGTGGATTAGAACGGCACGCATATAAGTCTTTTTCTGCCGAGAAAACCTAATCCCAGCTTTTTTTATGGCACCCTTAGAATCAGAGATACTTCAAAATGGCGACAGATCAAACATACCGTGTTGCTCCGTTTTTTTCCCTTAAAAATTCCTCTTTCATGCTATGTGCATCCTTTTTGTCCACAGGTCTCATTCGACTGCAAGAGCTGATCAAGGCACCGTCGCGGTACAACATCCGTTTGAAGATCCGACAGCTGCCCACAGAGACCAAGGACGCCAAGCCACTTTTGAAGGAGATGAAGAAGGCGAAGGAGTTTCACGTCATCTTTGATTGCGGACACGAGATGGCTGCCTGGATTCTGAAACAGGTGCAGTTGCATTAACGAGCTGCCAAAGTTTCAGGCAATCGTTGAAGCGATAACGCAATGAACTCTTTGCAAACACCCAATAAAATAATAACTATCAAAATATTGTTCACCCTAAAACTGAAAATGCTGAGAATTTGGTCATAAAATAAACAATTTGTATCATGTTTTTTTCAGTGTTGTATAAAGTACCTCAAAGTGATACTTCGGTGAAGGTGCAAGTATCTTACCATAAAATTACTTTGGTGAACATTAAAGTCTCCTTTAAAAATTATTACTTGAGTCAAAGTCTTAAAGTGTCAGACATTTAAAGTACTTAAGTATCAAAAGTAAATTTCACATATAAAATGTACTTTGTACTTAAAGTAAGAGTATTGAGTAAAAGTGAATGGTTAAAATTTCCAAAACAGCATTTATTGAGTGCAATATCCAGTGACAAAAACTTGAAAAGTTTGAACTGAACAATAAAAGATTGCTCTTTAAAAAGTCTGATTCTAATGAAGTATATTCATTCAACCATTATTAACTTTTATTAACAAAGCTGTTAGAAAGCCCACATTGTTGTGTAGTTGGCTCCTTTACTGAGCTTGGTTCTGTTTGGTTATGGCTTCTTACTTTCTGAATTTAATAGTTCCTATGCTCTTGAATGCACCGTGGCTGTTCCAGTGCTAGTGAACGCATCGTTCTGTGTAAAGTGCAGAGCTCAGTTGGAGGTTTTTGTTTCTCTCCTGACATGGACGGAGCCTTGTTGTTCAAGCTTGTTTGTGTTTTACTGGTTTACTGCTGTGTGTAAATACCAGAAGAAACACAGCAAATAAATCACCCTAAACTGAATATCTGTCTCTGTGTTATTTAATGGGAAGACTAGTGGCCCGACAACTTGACCTTGCTGCTCTAACCAGTTAATGTCTTGGAGAACACCAAACCTCTCCTTTTTAGCAGCTATCGTCATTTTTACACCTATCAGGAATTTACAGTTGCTGCACTGTGAGTCTACAAAGACCTATTGTAACGATTAATATCTGCATATGCATCTAGCTTGTTCACAACGGGAGCCGCAGTTTTCACACAAGCAGTGGGGGAGGGGCTGGGTTTGTGAGCGAGAGTGTCAGTGAGGGAGAGAGAAGGGGCCACATGAAGTCACAGACTGGGATAACAAACTGGCATTGCCCAATCAGATTTCTTTTAATTTTATATTGTAGGAACGAGTAACTGAGATGGTTATGGTAAATGTATCGGAGTAAAAGTACACATTTCATTGAGGAAATGTAGTGGATTAAAAGTGAAATTCGCTAGAAATGTAAAGACCTAAGTAAAGTAAAGATACGTCAAAATTCTACTTAAGTATAGTAAACAAGTATTTCTACTTTGTTACTGTGGGGTTTTTTTTTTCCTGAGTTTGAATATGACTCAAGATTTATATCTTTTTCTCTGGTAGACTCAGTGCCGAGCGCATAGGCTCATCGTTCATTCATTATGTATAAGTGCTAAAACAATAGGCTCATGTGCTCTCGCTTTATTACTCTTTCTCTTAAGCACTGATTCAAATCATTAGGATACCTTCTTTCTGCTCTCTGCGGCTGTAATCTCATTGTGGAATATTAGATCTCATCTACTGACCTATTACAGACAATGCTCTCGATTGCACAATAAAGTTTTTTAATTAGAAAGTGTAACTCTGCTCGCAGACATGTTGAGTTCATTGAACCGAAGCACATTATTTATGACATTTGTGGGGGGGGTTATTGAATGGAAGGATGTTATTGCACTGTTAGAAATGAGTGCCCACACAAACCTGTGAGACGGCAAAGAATGAATGTGCTTTAAGAAAAAACTAAACTAAACTTCTTGCTTTGCATTTTAAGCATCGACTAATTAGCAAAGACATAAAAAACATTTTGTCTTGAAGAACATTTAGTTCATCTAAATGTCATAAGTTCTGCAGTGCTTTTGTTTTTGTGGCCATTGGCTGTTTTCTTGGCTGTTTTTTTTTTTGTGTTTGCTAAAAACAACAAAGATTTTGGAAGGTATTTAGCGTGCTTTCAAAAAGTGAAATGAGTTGTGAAATGGACACGTTTATATCAGCGTGAACAACACATTTAGTGTGAAACATATCAGCTTTAAAATGCTTTTTAAAGTACATCTTTTTCACACAAAATGTGAAAACAAAAAGCGGTAGGTAGAATGTGTCATTTAAGCTTTTATAAAAGTGAGGCTGTTAATTTTTAGATTGTATCCTTTAAGTTGTATGAAGGTTTTGCATATATAAATTTGCGTAATAAAATATTCAGATACTCTACTGAGTTAGACATCAACAGTCTTTCTAAGTAAAATAATACCGTATTTTTCGAACTATAAGGCGCACCGGATTATAAGGAGCATTATGCAAAATAAGTTCATTGTGACAGATTTTTGAGCGCTGTGTACCACAAAAAATCAGTTCGAGGTCAGTAAGCACAACCAGAATTAATACATAAGGCTCACTGTTGATTTTTGAGAAAATTCAAGGATTTTAGGTGCGCCTTATAGTCCAAAATATACGATAGTTAATAAATCACCAGTTCAACAATAGTTTTAAACATTTATGTATTTCCAGCATAAAGAAATTGTCCAATCAGCTTTGAAGTGATGTTCTGTCATCACTTTACACGCTTATAAAACAACTCTTTTCTTAACAACCTTTACACTTTTGCATGACATGCTTTATCTATGCTCCTCCTGCGTACAGCACAATGTCATGTTTTATAAGGCTTAAAAAAATAATTTATTGTATTTTTATTTAATGGCATTTGTTTGGCAATCCATGAGCCCTGCCTGGACAAGGATTTAGCATCTTTCTCTACACTTTAATCTCTTTGCTCAATGGCTGATGTTACGACTGATAAGGTAATAACTACTGATGGCTATTATACAGAGCATCATTTCAAAGTTGACTGGACTATCTCTCTATATGACCTTTTCCTTGAGTCTTGAAGAACAATGTCACCTACTATAGAAGTGGAATAACGTTTGAATAAATCATTCTAATTGATGACATTATATTCTCATTTAAATGTATTTAAGTATACTTAACGCCTGATGTTCTTTTCTCCCTGTAGGCACTTGCAATGGGTATGATGACTGAGTACTACCATTACATTTTCACTACCCTGGTGAGTACATCAGCCCTTTTTTGGACTGTTGTTATCTAAATGTGATGATAAACCATCATTTTGTTCTGAGGTTTTGCACGTTTTGTGCTTTATGATTATGTGTGTTTTCAACATTCTCTTTTTGTTGAAGTGCAAATGTTTAAATCCATCATCTGGAGGTCCAAGTATCTGACAGCATTGTTTTCTGTTTTGAGACAAAAATGAGCTAAATTTGACTTTTCAAAGATTTTTTTTCATGTGTGTGAATTATTTTGAAGCTCCTCCACGAATTGATGAAAACGCTGAGTCACTCTCAGTTACTTCATCCACTCTTTGCATGTTAAACAGTTGTGAAAAGTTTAAATCGAATGGATTTTCCCTAATCCAGCACCCACTTTTCACCCCACCTGGCTGACCACTACCCTGACTGCAGGAGACAAAGGCAGGTGAAAGTATTTTCCTCTGACTCCGGCTGCCATTTGAAGTTCTCCAAAAAAAGTTCTTTGATCTAGCCACTACAAAGATTGCCCACTGCCATGCTCCAGATGAAAAGCAGCACATCCTCCCTGAGCCCAGTGAACAGAAGACTGAGAGCTCAGATAATAACCCTGAGCAGGACATACTGTAACCCATTTGTTCCATTAACAAACAAATGAAAAACACCATGCCGTTTGGAGCACAACTGGAAAGTTCGAGGGAAAACAACCTTAAAGCGCACACATATAACCATCCTTACTTCATTCACATGCATCTGTCTAGATAAAAGAAGAAGGTGACAGCAGGTATGTCTTTGTGAAAGAAGAGGACAGTGATTCGGTGGCATTGCTGCTGCCTGTTGGGATGGAAACATGCCTACTTTAACACTGGCCAGTGTTTGGCAGAATAAGGTCCAATCTGCTGGCCTTGGCTGTACACTCTGGTACCGAGCCATTCGTGCTGCTTTCGGAAGAGCAAATATTGACCATGGCACCCCTGCTTTGTGCATATCACCTGCTGCTGTTGCTCTTTCAACTGTGTGGCTGCATCCCAGAGACATCTGCCAGGTTAGATTCCAGACATGCCGTATATCCAGGACAATCGGGTTGTCCTTTTACTTCCACATGATAGATGGCAGACCACCAAAAGCCTGCCTGTAACCTTGAAAGTATCGCCTTAATCAAGGCTACAGCCTCAGCATGAAAAAAACAATCTCTGGAATACCCTCAACTGTACCTCTCTGCTTTCATTTATTGTGCTACAGCTGCAAAATCCACTAACTTCTCCTGATTGCTAAGAGGTGTATAAAAAGTGTAAAAGATTCAATAAACCTAATTTCCTCCCTAATATGACTGTTCTGCTGTTTAATTTTTGCATCTAGGATCTTTTTGCCCTCGACATGGAGCCGTATCGCTACAGTGGAGTCAACATGACGGGGTTTCGCATACTCAACACCGAAAACTCTCAGGTGTCATCAATCATCGAGAAGTGGTCAATGGAGCGACTACAAGCTTCGCCCAAACCGGACTCGGGCCTGCTGGATGGATTCATGACAGTAGGCTCAAACCTTTGTTTCAAACTCTGCATGCAGGAATATGTTTATAGTCGTGCTCTGTCTTTGTCCAAAAGGCCAAATAAATTGGATTTTTATGATGCAGGCAGTTGTGTTCAGGAACAATCGTTTGCACAGAAGCATGGATCAGTTTCAATGCAGCAACTAAATTTTACTTTAAATGCTTTGCTTGTTTCAAAAGGGAAATCGTGTGGGTGTGAGATGTCAATCATAAGCACCATGTTGCAGGGTTCCTGGGGTGAATATAGGAGTAACATAAATGCCCTCTGCGTGGAGCATTGGAGTCGGTGCTCCTGGGTCTAAATGCTCAGTAATGAGCTGGTATGAATGGTAATAGCCGTTTATCTGCCCTCCTGCCTCTCACATCCTCTACTGGGAGCATGGCCAAAATATGACAATCTGTCAGTGTTCATGTGGAGGGAGGGAGCAAATTGGATGGAGATTATGGCCTTGGTTTTTTTTAGGACGGTGTCCAGAAAAGCCAGGAATAAGGTGATTTGAAAGTGAAAAAGACAAGAGAGCTCGTCATTGACGTTCAAGGTCCCTCTCTGGGTCTGTTGTTGTTTACGCTGCCTCCCTCGCAGCACCTTCCTCTGAGACAAACACCTTTCCCACCCCCCACCCCCTTTCCTTTAAGCCATCCATTCTGCTTTTTTCTTGGCAGATTCAGGGTGGAGTGTGAGATATCTGTGTAGTGTAAGAAACGTCTTTTTGACAAAGGCTTACAGACGAGCCTTTGAAACTGACGCCGCACATGATGTGTATTCATAAATCAATCACGGCTTTGATTCTCTTACCGACGATCAGAAATGAGCGCAATCTCTCAGTCATGGAGAAGAACGCCTTGCTCTCACCGCCAAAGGCAAATGGCGATACTGTTCTATTAAGTATTGGAGTCAGCTGTGTTTGTTAGCAAAATATCACACAACCCAAATATGTCTATACAGTAGTCCCTCACTTATTGTGGAGGATCCATAACCTGAAGGCCCGCGATTAGTGAAAAAACGCAAAGTAGGAATAGTAGTACCGGT